CTTCTTCAGTCTTTGGCTTCTTTAAGGAAACTCTCGCACCAACTCTGCTCCTTTGCTTGGCATCATTTGCTATGACATTTCGAAACTAGAATGTTTTATTCCTTAGTTGCACTGAATGGTGGGACAGAAACAGTTTATTTCACCATTAGGCAAACCAGGTCATTTGTCGCCTCATATACCACCACTGATATTTCGTCTGGTATCTCCCATCTTACCTCACAGATGAAATAGACGGCCCTTTTGATGCATGCTGAAGCAACGGTGATCATTGATCATCCATAGACCAAAGGATCAAATGTTGTGTTATATTTAAGAAATTCGTCATTATGCTGCTTTTCAAAAAACGTTTCTTTTTAGCATGCAAATTTAATTGTGTCGTTCTGTAGGATGATCAGAAAGACAAGAACGATACATCGGAAGTTGGATATGAGCTTGGCTCGCCCATACCAGCGACGAGGCTTTTAGAAGCGGTGGGATCTGAACGAAACGTGGAACGCTTGACGATAATGCAACCCACCGCAGATGGGACTTGCGGTACAACCCGCAGAGCTGCGGTAGGCTTTGGAGTGAATATGAGAACGGGATGTATCATAAAGTACGATTTTTCAGCACTTTAATTGACTGTAAAGGAGCGCTCGTTTTAAGGGTTGCTACTCCTGTTGACAAAAGAAAATGTCAAGACTTACAAGCACAGATTCTGTTGGTAATGCGGCAAAATGAACCGACTCATATAGCTTCTTCCGGTCGCCTTAGTGAGTGGGTGCCACTGTTGCAGAACCGCAAGCCAGACAGCAAAGTGTTACCCCAAGAACAGTTTGTGTTTTCTTTTTTTGCATAATGAAAGTTTTTCTACAGGACGTTGAAACTACCTTCTGTGGATGTTCCAATATTGTCACTGAACAGAAAATCAAAATCATCTATGCAAATATTGGCAGCGCCATGAATCCGCAACGGAAAGTGATTGGCGCAAAAATAGAATACGTGACTTCTGGAGAAGTAATAATTGATCCGGTATGGATTTAAATCAATTAATGAATTTTGACTTTTGTCCTTTCTAATATCATTTGAAACCTATTGTAGAACACGCCCTACGAATGGAATCAGAACACAGGACCCGGCGTTGTTGCAATCGCAGTTAATGTGGTTTTTATTGACGTAACAGTGCCGCCGGTATTAACTGTTCCTCCTATTCCAGGTTTTACTTTCCATTTGCCGTATGATTTTTTTTATCCATTTGCTTCTTCCTCCTCGCGGCTACAGTTTTCATCATTTTCATTGTGTTTCTCCATGTGGCTTAGTTTTATTTTACGAACTAGTTTCGCGCCGAATTAAAATTCTGCATAATCCGGTTAACTGAGTTGTAAAAATTTTATGTCCGGTTTAGAAGATATGCTTGAATATCCGAATTACTTATTTATTCATTAATCTTTTTTTTAATTTTGGTTTTTGTTATTTAAACTGCTCAGTAACATTTTTCCTGGCAAGTTTAGTTATCAAATGAGCGAATTGCAACATAAACGTTTTCCAGGATCACTGAATAGCGTGTACAATAATGTAGTGTTTTAATTGCACCGGCAAGACTGTAGTCATTCTAGTGCGTTGTACAAATTTTTAGAATTAGCGTTTTTCGTTTTGTCGATATGCTAAGCGAAGGTCTGCGATGTTCGCATACTTTAGAAGGAACCCAAGGCCAAGGTTTCCAAAGATCCATTTTAAATTACTATCAATTTTCGAGTGAAATTAGTTTCTGTTTGTTGTAACTTATTTTCCGCACACAATAAATTTGGAGTGATAATTCCCTAGAGAGTTTACTAGTTCAGGTAAACAGATTTGCGCCATTTGCACAATTTTGCTAATTTTTAATTTCATAGAATGGGTCACTGAACTATGATAGCTTTGTGAAGACTCCATTCATGACTTATAATGTTCAAGCAGTGCAGTAGTATTCTTTCGATCAATACGAAGTCAAGCAATAGAGTCTGTTCATTAAGTCGAAAGTAATAGAATGTAACGCGATTGATAGGTTAAGAGTGTTTGAGTAATCCGTTGGAAATCATACTACAAAAATAGCGTTCAACATGGTTTACTTACATACAATGTAAATGGTATTACGACCAGTCCCAAGATTGACCATTGCTGAAGTTTCAATCCGTCTCTCTCTTCCCGGGGAAGATTAGCGGTGGAGTTTCGTGAATGTGGCTGACCTTCCACAGCCATCGACAGTTTCGAAATCAGGAACCATCTGACAATTAATACTTACGTCTCTCGTAACAAACTCATCAACATAATTCTGCAATCTAGCACTAATACCAAAATTATTCAATAATGCATCATGAAAAGCCATAACCGCGCGACAGAACAGAGTGCGTCATCCTAAAAGCCTCGATGAACTACCCCTGGTGTTTGACTCTACTCATGAGTGACTCACAATTAAATTTCTTGCTCTGGTTTCGAAAGAAGCTGCGCACTCTTCGAATCCGAACTAAACAACAGAAATAATTAAATGAAAATTTTATTGTTACAGAATAAAATTTGAAAACTTTAATTCACAACTAAGGCCTAGTACCATTGGAAACTTACTTCGAAGAAGCAATTTGTTTTACGTTATAGCACCTGGCATTTCAAATAAATTAATTTGTCACAAAAATTTTACATGCAAGTTTGAAATTACTTTACTTAACAAAACCTATTATTTCAATAAATAAAGAATGCATAAAATGAAAGATTTAAAAGTATCAAAAACCTATTTCAAACCGAAATCCAATAAAGTACAGCAATCAGTGGTATTTTCTCTTTTAATACTTTCGGATTTACGCAGAGAAGCTCCGTCTCCTAGCATCTAGTAATCCAGAGGATTGTAATAAAGAAAGGGATCCATGATATTTCAGTATCTCAACATTTTGGTGCACCACCATCGCCAACAAAACCCATAATAAGGGCTTATTCTTGTTTTAAGTAGCATCTCCTATTTCATCCTCATGACAGCCTCTTCTTTTCGGGTTGCGGAGGGAGGCGTGTTATACAGCGTTTGCAACATTTCCAACCCTTTGCCAGAGTCTCAACTTCGACAAAAAACAATCGAAGTCTAAAACACTCAATCCATATATTTGCACCAAATTAATCTTGGCCGTCCCCTGGGATTTCTGTCAGTCGGCTGGGTCAGCAGTAGTTGCTTCGCTTTGCGACTTGTTGGTGTTTGCAACGCGTGCCTAAACCGTCGCAGCTATGACTTTTTCATCTGAGAAAGAAGCAGCTGTACACAAAGACTATATATGGCAGATGTCTGTGTCCCGGACCGTGTCATGACGCGTAAGGCAAGCAACTCATCTCAGAACGCCAATTTCAGCAGCCTGTCGTCTTAAATGAAGATAATATTTGATTCTTTGACTGCTCCTGCCGAAGGAGGAGGATTTCTTATGGTAATCGATTGTTTGCAACATTTACCGAGGTGATGATTAGTCAAGAACTTTGCATCTGTCTTAAGGTAAACATCAATTGCAGAACGTCAAATGTCAAAAGATTGGATTGTCAAATCGATAATCAGTTTTGGTACACAAGCTTTTATGTATCAGATAAACTAATGCACTCTTCGATGCTGGAAGAGCGGGTTTATAAAGGAAAGCGCATTATTAGCACATTTCACTAACATCTTCGTGGCCCTGTTGATGAAGTCATTACTACCGTTCTTTTTAATCATGCCTTTCAACTTTTGAGCATTTTCTCCGATATGCGCTTTGAAATAGCCTGTCAGAAACATAAATTGCGTAATCGGGACTTTATTCAGAACAGCGCCTACTTCCTTCGAGTTGAATACACGTAAAAAGAATAACTTCCATCTGAAGATTCAGAATTTTACAGTGATGGCACCTCGTTTACGAGAATCTAGGTATATCGAGTCGGCCGTTGCGACCTGGTCAAATGGCACCTGCTCTCGTCTTCATGCTCAGGCGAGATTGAAGTTCCGGACTGTGAGCTCTCACTGTCCGCATCGTTAACGTGGAACCTTTGTTTACTGGCTCTAGTGACATCGTGTTGCTTGCCTTATCAATTCACAATGGGCAAATTCTCCGCTGATGACTGATATGTTCATCATAACTTTGTCGATATCGACAGCCGTCGTAGTTCTGCTATGCTTTTTGAAGTCAGAATTCACAATTTTCTATAATAGGCCTGTGTTCCGCACTGCCTGCACGACGATTGGTAGCTCCGCGATGGCCGAGTCGTCTGCCATTAATGGCAAATTGTTTCTGTTACGGAAGACCTCACCACGCTCTTCAACAGTCCTACTTTGTGATCAACTTATAGAAAAGGCAACGGCCGAGTTGTGTCGTTAAACAGATTATAAGATAATGAATTCAATATTTTTAAGCTTAACTATCTTAGACATATTTCTTAGGGGATCCTATCGTGTTTCTTCGTAATGAATTTTTGCTGATTTTTTGCATATTTTTTTTACCAATCAGTGTCCTGCGAGAATGAAATTTTTTATCATTGCTGTGATAAACCATTCCAACATCATTTAGTGCTTCCGATATCCGCTGAACTGTCAGATTTTTTCAGTCATCTGGCACTAAATGGGAAAAAAGATGCAAATTGTTTTAATTAGGATGATCCGTAGGTAACGTTAGTCGCACTTACTGTATGTATTCTGATTCACGGTTAGTATTTGGTGCCTTTGATGCAAGTAGTATTGGTTTATCTAGGTTTGGTTTCGTAATTGAAGAATCGATGTTTGTTATTCCCTTTTTGATTACTGTTGTCTTTGAATTGTTATTTTCTTCCACCTTAGCGATTCATTTTCATTCATCGCGTTTGTTCACTGTTGTGATGCGAAATTTCGTTTCGACGTCAGCGGTGTTAAATTCTTGTTGGCACTTGCTTCAACTTAGTGTTAAAATCGTTTTAGTTTGAGGGCTAATAAGTGCGCGGTAATCCATGTTATTTAAATGCGCTGTTGCTGTTTGCAGATCTGTTTTTAAGCACACCGAACAGCTGCAATCATGGATGAAGATTACGACTGTATCGTCCTTGGCACCGGACTCACAGTAAGAAGCTTTTTGCGATGTGTTCTTTTTTTAGTATAATTTAATTCGAATAAATCTTTATTTCAGGAGTGCATAGTATCGGGAATGTTGTCAGTTTGTCGGAAGAAGGTCTTGCATATTGATCGTAACAGCTACTACGGCGGCGAAAGCGCATCGTTGACTCCTTTAGAGCAAGTAAGATACAGACTTGCTTCATGCTAGGTATCACGAAATAAGCCACCACATATTTACGCCTTTACGTATTTATAATGAGTTACGTGTTGTGCATGCGTTACATTGTCAGTCGATATAGAACAAATCTTTTTTGCTGACAATCAGTTAGCTGATCCTTGTATATGATCAAATTTGAGCAGCATTGCACTGCTGCACTCCGATGTTTTTAACAATCTTTTAACTAAACTGATAGCGGGAATTTGCCTGTAGAACTTTTTCGATATAGCCGGGCGTCAAGGCTTCACTGCCATCTGTCTAATGAGAGTATCACTTGGATGTTCAGAATATAGATTTGATACAATTCAATAAGTCTTGTGAAACAAAAATTTTAATTTCCGGTCGAGGTGTAAAACGAACTCTATATTTTTAGAAGGATGCACTAGAATATATGTTAACTCCTAGTGACACTGCCAATAGTTTATAGCATTCGAACCAAAGATAGTCCTTCAGAAGGAAGTATTCCTGAAGATTGTTAAAATGTTCTTCAAGATAAACGTTGAAATTTTTATCGATTGAAATGCGTACCGAAAAAATTTTATTCGGCGTTCTAGATTTATTTCCGTTCGATTTAGCCTAATCTATTTTAGGTGTAGGCTAAATGCTATAACTATATGTTGCTTCATCAGGTCTTGAGCAGTATGAATGATGTTCAGCTTGACAACAGAATAAAACACGGTTTATTTATGCACACTGCAAGGAAACTGTGGTTCATCGAATGGTTGACCAGTATCAATGATACAAATGGTTCTCACGGGCCTTCATCAACTTGCAGATTTGTTTGTCGTTCACAGCTGTTTTATGCACTGGTACTCGTCATTCATTAGATTGACAAAGTCGGTTGTACTGCGTATAAATAAACCGTTTTATGCTGTTTTGAGCGTGACCAACGCAACGTACAGATACAGCGTACAAACGAAATACTCGATCAGTATGTTGAGTTTGTCCACCATTCGATATCATGGTCGACTTTCTGTCGATTTTGATGACCGCATGATTAAAGCTTGTGGTATTTTGAAACTTTCTTAGGTTTACGCCAGTTATTTGGTCAAAGCATAATTATTTCTCCTTCCATATGTCTTTAGAAAGAGTGAGGACTAAGTACATATCTGCCGTTAAGATCCTTCAGTAGGTTCACCGTTTATTTCTATATTCTTCGAAGAAATTTAAATGTTGTGATTATGACTCGCTGTAGCGTGCTTTATGCATCATTAATCTGGTTACTCTGTCCTTGGCCCTGATACGCAAGACGACGATGATAACAGCAGCCTGTAGCGTCCTTCAGATCACCTGCTCGTAACCTACAAAAATATCAAGGAATGATTTCGAAAGTTAATTTTAAATATACGCTACAAACCTGTCAAACTTTTAATTTTCCGATTCAGTGGTTTTTGACGCAATTCAGATGCCGCTGTTAAGAAACCTTGATTATAAATTTGTCAGCGTTTCGGCCACCCAACAGCGGCCTTCTTTGAGACAGAACGCTAGCAACGGATATTATAACGTACACTGATCTTCACCTATCCTCAGTCGGCCGAACCAGCAATTCTCCACCATCGCGCAGCCTGTTTTTATTAGTTAAGATGTGCAGCAATTCTTTGATCATCTTTTTCGTGGTCAACCATTGAAACCTTTCTTTTTACAAGATCGTGACCATAAACCACGAAACCGGTGTGTTCTGGATGACTGTTGGTCATAGCACCGTCTGTGTTCGCCCGTTGAAACTTAATATTCTGAAAGTCTTCCTGCAGTAAATCCGTTAGCAACCGTTATACTGACTAGAATAGACATTTCTTTTGATTAATAATGGTGATTAATGATGGTACAATTAAGATTAGTGTAGAGCACAAAATCCAATGTAAGACCTCCAGGAAACTGTCGTGTTTTTAAGCAACCTAAGTATGTGTTCAAATATGCCTTGAATATATGGAAGTTATGGAATTATTGAAATTGACTTTAGGAGAAGGTCTATGAATGGAATAAATGAGGAGTAAAGATTGAACTACGTACTTTCTCAGGAAAGTATAATAAATGCGCCTAATTTCTTCATAGCGGAGTTATTTTTGATTGCAATATTTCAAGGCTCTGAAATGTTTGCATTTTATACTATTAGTGAGGACGGCTAGAGGAATGCCAAAGGAAGGATTTAAACTCATTAGAGCGAGTCCATTTTCTGTATACCGAAAAATTTAAGGAGCCTTCTAATGAAATGTATGCGTTTCAGAACTGTCAAATATTGCAATCGAAAACGTGTCCTTTTTGAATCAGGCGTTCTACTCGAATTGACCTAATATCTCAGCTTAATATGTGAAAGCGGTGCATACTTTATTTTTATTATACATCTTGCGCTGCCTATCCGATCTGGTTTTTGAAAGCCTTGCCTGTGAACATTTGACCTCCATGTTCAGTTAGGCAACAAGTTCGGTTGCTCTTCGAATTTTGCATATTCAGCTGATGTCTGTTTGATTTTTTCCTTTCATCGACCAACCACGTTATGTGGTTCACAGAAGATCGTTCAGGTCGATTTAAGCCTGAACTTTTTTCTGCAAAGAAAAGTTGGAATATTTCTGCCCAGTGCTTATTTTGCAGTTAGGGTTTCCAACCCTCTCCTCATGAACCATTGCCGATATCTTTCAAACCTTCCTAACACTACAGCAAATTCAGAGAAGTCGAGCATCTTGTGAGGTTTCGATCATGAAATATCACTGGCGTGTGACAAGCAATACCACTGTCTCGAACTACCCTAAGCGAGTTTCAGCTTTACTTCCATGCTTTAACTTAGGCAAAAAATGCAGATTTTCTCGCACTGTTGGTTTTGCAACTTTGCTGTTTCACATTTAATTTCTTGGTGCATTTGTTTGCGTGATTAATATGAGAAATACGTTGCTTATTGTATTTTGGGCGTTTTATGGTTTACAATCATTAAAAGTAGTTTTCTCTGGCGTCAGGTGATTACATGGCATGATCTAAGTTCCTCCATTTCTGGTACTGCTGCTGAATAATAGCTTGCCAAGGCAGAATTTTTTATATTAATGATGTTTTGACTTAATGTGCATCTCCAGCCATTATAATTATACTTATTTATTTGCGAGAAACTTATCGCGTGAAAACTGGAAGCACATGTCCTTGAAGTACATGGTCTGCGTCAACATCAGTTTTTTAGAAAGCCTGCTTGATGCATGCAGACTGTACTGTACCAATAATCCCCGAAGTTTTTGCTTCAGATTTTATTTCAAGTAGATATGTTTTAATGGAAATCAAGGTCCAGCCCTGATGATGCTACGGTGTGTGCACTGAAACACGTTGGCATTAAACTGTTTACCATCTGTTGTATTCGATGCCCCGAACCATGAATCATTCAAACAACTAGTTTTTAACTGTGGACCCAGAATCAGAAGCCTTAAGTATTATTTAAATATGTTTAGCATCTTTGATGAAGTTAAGTGAAGTAGAAAAAAGTATTTACACTGTCTATTTATGCCTTTGGTAAACTGGTTGATTGGTTGGCTTCTCATGTCATTTTTGCTGTTCGCAGCAGGTCGTATGTTTGAAGCCAGAAGGCCCATAAAACACGGGTCGAAACGGTGGTACAGCGTCGTTGATTGACCAAATTGTTTGCGTTGAGTATTGCGCCTTTATTGGACTTGCTCGGGGCGTAAAAATTTTTGTCCATTACCACCAAGGTACCGGCTGAAGCTACCAGCCTTGTTAACTGTAAACCACGTACCGTGCGTTTTGCGCGGTTTATTAAGACTGGTAATAGCAGCCGAAACCTTGGTCCTGCGCAAAACGTCTGTTCCGCATCAGTTTTCACTAAAGTCATAATAGCTTCCTCTGAACTAACCGAAGTATAAGTACATCGTAAAGAAACGGTGTCTTGTTCATTTTTTAGTATGACGTATAAATCAATTGCTGAAACTCCAGGAAAGTTTAGCCTATTTTAAGTTTCAGGTGTTAATTAGGTAATCCTAGATAATATCATCTACATAGTCCCTTTTCTAGTTTTCTGGTGTCTAGCGCTGATGACAGAGTATGCATCTTCAGCCGCAGTTTATATCATATTAATGTTTACGATGCATTTAGCTATTAAATTTGCTGATTTGAGAATACGGTATTCAAGTGAAAAAATTGCTTGAGTTCATCAGATTATACCGTCCTAATCATTACACGAAATTCTTTCTGTAGAAATCGTTTCTTCGAAACCAGTGCATGTCTTACTTTTTTTCGATGAGCAATGTCGATAGTAAATGATGATGACCTCTTGACAAATTATCCACCCTGTTTCTTAGATCCTGCTCATTAAGGTGACATACTGCTTCGATAACTGTTGATCAGCGAGTCTGATTCCACATTAGTGCTTAGCACGAAAAAAAACATTTTTTGCTCCATTGCATCTGTCTGCTTAAGAGGCCATTTAAGCATTCCTCTTCTTAATGTTAGTTTCACACCTGCTGTGCATGATGCGTTTGAGATGGTTATATTTTATTAGTTGAGATAGTATCTTGTTAATTGCCAATAGTTGTACAACTTTGAAGCACACTTTCATCACGTTCAGTTTTGCATAACGTTCTCATTAATTTTTTTTGCCGCATTCATTTTTCTGGATTAATTTTTCTAGTGGAAACGATAAGAATTATTTATTCGGCTTATTTTAGCTCTATCAGAAATTTCTTCCCGGTGTTGATCCTCCTGAGGAGTTGGGTCGCGGTCGAGATTGGAACGTCGATCTGATACCGAAGTTCTTAATGGCTGATGGTAAAGTTTTTAAATGTGTAGTGCTACTCGATGAGTTTAGTCTCTGTTAATGCAGAATGAAGCAGGTGAGAGAAATCGGAAAAACAGATGATTGTGCCATTTGGCTGTTGGCATATAGGGTTTCACAGCGAATACATTTGTATTTTTATTTTTGCATATAGAGGGTGCCGGGCTTTTCTTTATTTCGATGTTATTACCTAAGAGTGCCTAATTTTTGGAGCCATTGTCTAGAGCCTCGAAACGCTGCCTATTTATGTACCTCAGAACGATGAAGCACAAGTGTTCCGACGTGATTCCAACCGTCCGTATTTCGACTGGTGCTTCCATTAGTGCTTTGTCAAGTAACCCGCTCGAATCGAGAACTGATAAAACGGATGTCAGATGGCGCATTTTCTGTGCAAAGATCGGTACCCTCAGCGTTAAATTCAGAGGATCACTGATTTTTCTTGTCTCCTGTTCTTGCCTTGTCCGTTATGTAGACATATGCCGTGATTTTACATTTTCAAGCTGCTGAAACCTGTATAATCATGTAAAGTTTTGCGCATTTTATTTCATAGGTAAATTGGCCAAACTGTTACTGCACACTGGTGTTACTCGCTACCTGGAGTTCAAGTCCATCGAAGGCTCTTACGTGTATAAAGGTGGCAAGATATACAAGGTGCCTGCCGACGAAACTGAGGCACTGACGACCAGTAAGCTGAGACCACCCGCCGTTTGGCATTTTTCTGGCAGATAATTATGACTAACGACCATGTTTCAAGGTCTAATGGGTATGTTTGAAAAACGTCGATTCAAGAAACTGCTGGTGTGGGCGCAAAACTTCGATCTCGACAACAAAGCAACCTGGGATGGCCTTGACCCGCAGAAAAATACGATGAATGATGTGTATCAGAAATTCGATCTGGACGACAATACAGCTGATTTCACCGGTCATGCACTAGCGCTTTACATTAATGATGAGTAAGAGTTGAAAAGATCTTCATAATGTGATGTTTAACTTAGATATTTCTTAACTGTTTGTATGTACAATAAACTGTTGGTTTGCATGTTGCTTTATTTGCATGTTGCATTCCGCATATTTAAGCAATTTTGTTGTTTTTAGCTACAAAACTAAACCCTTTTACGAAACGGTTGAACGGATCAAGTTGTATAGTGCGTCTCTGAGTCGTTATGGCAAAAGTCCATACTTATACCCAGTGTACGGACTGGGTGAATTGCCTCAAGGTTTCGCTCGCCTAAGCGCCATTTATGGAGGTACGTATATGCTGGACAAGCCGGTCGATGAAATTGTCATGGAAAACGGAAGGGTAGTCGGTGTGCGGTCAGGGAATGAAGTCGCAAAATGTAAACAGGTTTATTGCGACCCATCCTACGCGCCATCATGCTGCAAGAAGATGGGACAGGTAATCATCTCCACTCGAATTGATTGTAAAATACTATAAATTGCTATTACATCTGTTTGGGGAATAATTTGCTTGCTAAAATTGCTCCCATGTTTGTGACCGCAAAAACTTCTAGCCTCTTGCCGCTGCACAAATCCTAATAATGAGAAGAAACAATTGTAGTCAGATAACGCTCTGCCTACCCTCCTCAGTCATTTCTAAACTCAGTGGTTGATTTGTTATATGTGATGTGGAAGTGGGGTCATAATAAGCTTTTTCATTCGAGGAATTCCATTTTTGTCAACACAGCTTGCTAAATACAGCAGCAGTGGTTTTGGAATGATAGAAAGCAAATCTTCATCATCAGCGAAACTTTGGAGTGGAAGTGACGTTTCTTTGCACTACTGCTGAATCATACAAGTATTATTAGTCATCGTATTAATCAGCCTCTTATCACTAGTGGAAGTTAACAAGTGGCGTTAATAGTAGCAACGTTAGAATACCAGCCACAGGAATTGATCGAGAGATATTTTCACGGTTGTGCCACTTAAAGCGAAAGCCTCTTAACAGATATGCCTCTATGGTACCATCGAGAGATTAACTGCAACAAACGAAGAAAGTAAAAGACTAGTAAGGAAATGATATGCCGCGTCACCGGGTAATGGTGCAGTTGACTAATGATGAAATGTAATGAGGTTGGGTGTTAACTCCACAACTGAATTCCGGAAATAGGAATTGATGAATGGAAGGCAGCTGCTTAGATCGTTAACTGAGATGGAGAAGAGACAAAACAACAACATGTTTCTAATATACAATAGTATGGTATGTGTAGAATGGTATATACTATATGAAATAAATTCACGGATTATTTTATGAAATATTCGTAATACTTTTTTCCTGCAGGTAGTGCGTGCAATATGTCTAATGAACCATGCGATACCAAGCACCAATGACGCGAAATCCTGCCAAGTGATTATACCGCAGAAACAAGTGAATAGACACAATGGTACATTGAGCGTTGCAATCCGTCGTACATTACTTCGAGTTCATCATGTGTGATTTTAGATATTTACATATCAGTAGTATCCTACACGAATATGGTTGCCGCCAAGAACTGGTACATCGCCATTGTAAGCACTACAGTCGAAACGGCCAATCCAGAGGCCGAACTTCAACCCGGTCTGCAGCTGCTAGGTCCTATAGTTCAAAAGTAGAAATTTACTCTTATTCTTTTGCTATTTATTATTGGCAAGAAAAATACGTATGCTCGTTGTGCAGACTGTCGTAGACATTTCGTACCAGCTGTGGCTACAAGTTTCCGTCTGATATTGTGTTTCACATCCTTATTTTATCCCGTGTTTAAAATGAACCAAGAAGGCTGTTGGATTAGTTTGTATTAGATGTAATTAAGGGATTATGTGTGCTTCTAGAAGACTTTGAACAAAATGTCTTAATGATTTTGCTAAGCTGCATATAACGCTGCATATTTTGTATGCTACTCAGGCAGTCTCGGTCGAAATAGTGACTGACTTGCAGTTTATAAAGTTGTAATCGAAACTAAGCCAATGAATCTTGTTTTACGTCTTTTCCTGATAAATGAATGAACATCAGTTAGGAAAATTCAGACATTAGTTGCTCTAGTGACTATCATGTTATAGACATTATCGTCAAAGGATAAGGCCAGTCAAAGGATACCCAGTCAACCTGCGGTAGTTGTTACTGACATTTGTGCATTTCTTCACATCACGAATGCTTTAAGAGACTGCTTAATTGACGAAGTGCTCATTGGAGGTATGACAAGGGTCACATTTCAGAATAAAAATACTCAAAATATTGGATGCCTCATTTACCCAAATGCAATCTTGGTAAATGGTACATGAAACGGGCTTCGTATCCTCGCGGCTTTGATATGCAACAGAAAATTTCGCGATATTTCATAACAGTCAGATATATGAAGATATGAGGAATATGTGCACCAAGACAGATCTGCAAATTCACTGAAGCGGGGAAGCAGTATATCTGGTAATATTGGTGAATACAGTTGCCATCGTCACAAAGTTACCTATCAGACAGACGAAGATCACTTTTTCTCTTTCGCACGCACATCTTGTTCAGCTCTACAACGACTATTGTACAGATATTTGACATAAGTGGCATTTGTCATATAGGTCTTTGATACGTCTGTTGATTCGACAACCTTTATAACGCTTGGGTTCTCCTAGAATCAAATATTTCTCATTGTTAGTTAAGCAGATTATAGAAGGACATCTCTGTTTGCACCTTCTGTTGTAAACTAACCGATATTTTTCTCCGCATCCAGTTTACTTCATTTAAGAATTTTTCGAATCATTTCATGCTGTTACCTCATTTTGTTTTAGGTTCGTCACGGTTTCGG